TAAACTCTTAGGAAATTAGAATCACAACAGCAGCCGGCTGGACTTCCACTGTCAGCCACATCCAAACTCCAGCCCAGGCGTGGTGACACATAGTCCACAGAGGATATCAAAATGCTAAAGGAGGGGGACATAACAGCTATAAGGAATTCCAGGCTCTACATATTAAAAGTTAGACTTAGGTCAGGTGTGGTGGCTCACACCTGTAATCCCAGCACTTTGGGAGACCGAGGTGGTGGATCACTTGAGGTCAGGAGCTCAAGACCAGCCTGACCAACAAGGTGAAACCCCATCTCTACTAAAAATACAAAAATTAGCCAGGCGTGGTGGTGTGAGCCTATAATCCCAGCTACTCTGGAAGCTGAAGCAGGAGCATCACTTGAATCCAGGAGACAGAGGTTGCAGTGAGCCAAGATGGTGCCACTGCACTCCAGCCTAGGCCACAAAGCAAGACTGCATCTCAAAAAAAAGAAAAAAAATAGTTAACCACTTCTTTAGGGCTTTTTATTTGGCCTAGAGGCTGATATTGCACTGCCTGTATACTTTTCTAATCTTTCAAAATACATGATGGCTCAACTCCTTGATTAAAATTCCTATGCATTTCTCAACCACTGTACATTGGACTTGTTCAGCAGCAGACTTCAAGTTTTTTTCTTTAATCAGGAAAGAAAACTGTTGCTGGGTATACGATTTCCCAGGTATAGGTCATTATGTGATGTTGGTTGTTAGTAAACAGCACTACATATTACATAAACCAAAAACTGACTCAGACTTCATCCATCTTCTTACATACTTTTGTGTTACAGACACACCTGTTTTTTGAGAGATCAGTCCAAAGGAACAAAGGATCAGAAACATGATGCAAAAAGTTACATGACAGAGAGCCCCACCCAAATCCCTAGGCGAAAATATCAAATTCCAGGTGAGATAGTAACCAACAGGTGAAGTAGTCCAAGGAAAGAATACTAAGGAAGAAATACATGGTCAGAAAGAAGGCAGATTTTGTTTGGTATCTTTTCCAATAAAATTCACTACCAGGGGTACAAGTCCCTAGAATGTATTTCAAGGCTCATGTTACTATTATTAGAAAATATACACAGGCAGCTGAATGCAGTGGCTCATGCCTGTAATCAGCACTTTGCGAAACTGAGGCAGGAGGATCACTTGAGCCCAAAAGTTAAGTACCAGCCTGGGCAACACTGTGAAACTGTACTTACAAAAAAAAAAAAAAATCGAAAATGAGGCTGGAGAATTGCTTCAGCCTGAGAGGTGGAGGCTGCAGAGAGCCATGATAGCACCATTACCATTGCAGTCACACCTGAATGATGGAAGTGAGACCCTGTATCAAGAAAAAAAAAAATAAAGAAGAAAGAAAGAAAATATTTGCAGACTAGCTGACACGTTAAGAACAGGAGAAAAAAAGAAAACAGGAGGCTGGGTGCACTGGCTCATGCCTGTAATCCCAGCACTTTGGGAAGCCGAGGTGAACAATCACCTGAGATCAGGAGTTTGAGACCAGCCGGGCCAACATAGCGAAATCCCATCTCTACTAAAAAATACAAAAATTAGCTGGATGTGATAGAATGTGCCTGTAGTCAGAATTATTTAGGATGTTGAGGCAGGAAAATCTCTTGAACCCCAGAGGTGGAGGTTGCAGTGAGCCAAGATCTCACCACTGCACTCCAACCTGGGTGACAGAGCGAGACTCTGTCTCAAAAA